AAATATTTTAACTTTGAAGCCGGACAATAAGTATGCACTTAGAAGTAATAATTTGCTAAATCAAATTTTATGTTGAACCAAAGACGTAAAATAAGAAGGATGTTCAACGCATTGTCATAGATCAGAGGTGCCGTTTAAAGGCCAAAAGCGTGTTACCGTCAATTTTCTAAATTCAAGATATAGACGTTCCGATGTTTACCCGTTAATTTTGTTTCGATATACTTCACTCAGTAAACCCATTATAAATATACATATACTGAAGCTTAAGGTTATAAAAGACACATAATTACTCAAAAAAAATTAATACGTTTGAAAATGATAGAGTTGAGTTATGTGCTTTTCTTAATAAAAAAATAACTAAGATTAAACATGGTAAACTAAGTTTTTGCACAAAGGCAATTTACAGTTTACAAAAATAGATAGTATAAAGTGAAGCGAACTTTTCACGTTAAATGGAAATTACTATGATATAATTTAAAGGTAGAATAAGATATTTTCAGTGTTTTTTTTTTACCCTACTTTCTTTTTTCTTCAACCCACTAACCCTAACCCTGACAAATATACTTCCCATTTTAGGGTTTGAATAGGAGAATATTTCAAATTTTTGTAAGAAATGTTGAACTTTTTTTAGTTATGTAAATTTTTTCCGCGGACGACATTAAAAAGTTTTTTTTTGATTCATTAAATGCACTGTAATATTTATTAAAATTAAAATTTAAAGGTATTTTAACTAATAGCATCTTACAGTTCGTATAAAAAATTATTAGTTTCAGGAGCTAGAAAGAAATATAAAGTATGTATCTTTAATTAGTATTTTTATTAAAACATTTTTAAATAGTCAGTCTTTTAAACAACTTTATTTTATAACAATAATAGTAAATAAATAAAACTTGATAATACCTAATGAAGTAATAAAATTATTAAGATTATAATCTTATTAATATAAACAATAATGTAATTGTTATTATTATAAGATAATCTTATTATTATTAACAAAAATGTAATTGTTATTATAATAAGATAATCTTACAATTAATCTATGTTATTAAGAATAATGAGATAATCTTATTATTTTTATTATGCAATTGCTATTAAGAAAATCTCAAAAAATGCATCTTCAGTGTCAAATTTTATGTATTCTACAAATGATGCACAACTTTATTTTTAACCTTTTATAGGTATTATACCAAAAGAAGTACATTTATCTTTTATCTCATTAACGGATAAATAATTAGAGTCTTCATAAGGAATCTTTGAAAAATTTATGTAGAAAGTGTGGCTTAAAAATAAAAAAAGATAGTCACTATCTATTAAAACCTGCTATCATCTATAAACATAAAATTCAAGTTTTTACAAGCTGAATATACTTCAGACAATCAAAAGGTACACTCTGAATATTTATGCAAGTCATGTTATATGGTCATATGTTTTTAAATCTAACATATATAAATATTAGATTTAAAAACAAAAAATAGCTTTTAAATTGAAAGGAGTGATAAGTTCTTCACTTTTACTGAACATACAGAAACTTGTTATGTATGTAACACACACACACACACACACACACACACACACACACACACACACACACACAATAAAGTTGGAAAAAATAAAAATTACCTGTGATAAATACAAATCAACAGTTAAAAGGAATTGCATCAAAACATGGTTTTGACTGTTACAATGAAAACAACAAAAATTGTTTTGTAATTGTCGAAATCAATAAGTATCGCCAAATTGTTAGCAAAACATTGTCATTAGAGTCAAATAGCATGTGGAGACTAATTTTTTTAAATTGTGAAGTGTCATTATCCAATAGTGTTATTAAATCACTCCCAGAACACCTAAATTTTCAATCTGCTAATAATATATTCTCAACCATTTCATGTGTAAACATATCTAAAGGTAATAATGACATCCAGTATTTAATAAGAAATATATTTTCTGATTTTAACAATTTCTAAAGCACATCAAATGAAAATGTTGGAATAATTGAGATGGAAAAAGACAATACAGTTGATAACTTTAAAGTTATAAGTCATAAAGATTGTTCATTAAATTGTTTCAAAGTCTGTTGCGATTCTTGCACCATGCGCCATACTAACTTGTATGTAATGGAATTTAGTAGAAAAAGTAACGAAAACCAATTATCTCTCTCATCTAACAGTAAGAAGAATGACAGGTACTTTTCTAAATCAGAACTATTAACAAATATTTTAGAGAATTAGAAAAAACTTTTAGAGAAAGAAAGAAAAGAAAATCTTGCAAAACAACAACGTATGCAAAAAATAACCTGAAAAATCTATAACAGAAGAAGGGGTTGTTCTTGAAGAGAAGGATCACACAATTATTGAGGAAACTTAGGGGTCGTCCATAAATTACATCACGCTATAAGGGGGGAGGGGGTTGGTGGTTTTGTGACGACTCATTCAAAACTCGCTTCTTAAGTGTTACGTTTTTGTAACGAGGGGGGGGGGGGGTAGTTCAAAAACGGTCAAAAATTGCGTGACGTAATTTATAGACGACTCATGAAAAATATGGGGAAGAAAATCCATTCACTAAGGCAGCAACAAAAAATCCACGTTGGACTTAAAGACAGAAGGTCTATGAGGTGGCATCCTTTAATTATAAAATGGTGCATCAGTTTATATTTGAAATCTCCAAGTGTCTATCATCATATTTGCTCAACACCATTTTAAAATCTACCAGGCAAAAATAATGTTCAGAAGTATATTAACTTTACTGACCCAGGCTGTGGTTTTAATAAAAATGTAATGTACAACTTGACCAAAAAAATCGAATACCAAATATAAAAGCGCACCAGAGATATGTTTCAATTATTGTCGACGAAATGAAAATAAAAAGTGGGCTTGCTTTTTGCTCATTTACTGGAAAGTTGGTGGGTTTTTCAGAAAGTGGATCAATTAATGAGCTGCTTTTGAATTTTGAAAATAAATATACAGAAAATAAAGAAAAAAGCGATCTATAAGATCCAACAGCTATACCGTTGGCATCAAATGTAACTGTTTTAATGATGAGTGGGATCATATCTTCTCTAAAATATGTGTTTGGTCATTTTGCTTCTGCTAGAGATCTTTCTAGTAGCCAATAAGCTCGGACGAATTTTGAATTCGACTCAAAAAAATTCGACTAAATTCGGAATTCGAGGTCAATTTCGAATTCAAATTTTGTCGAATTTGAGATCTTAATTAGAAATCGATTTTTAATTTCGAATTCTGATTAATTGGATACAAATTTGATAAAATTTGAAATTCAAATTTGAGTTTCGAATTTTATCAAATTTGGAATAGAATTAAAATAGAGTCTTAATTTTCTTAAGCAATTATAAAATAACTCCGGCGCTGCAACAAAATGAGCTTTGTAATAAAATTCTAAAACATTATTGGCTGATTCTATTTTTGCACGCAAAACTATGTTTTTATTGGGCGATACAGAAAAATTGAACACTTTCAAACGTAGATGTTACAATGAAAAATTTGTAATTTAATGAAAAGATCAACTAAAAAATTTAACGCAACGACTTTTATACTCATTCAAATGAATTATGTGATTTCCTTCGTGCGTAAATAATATCCAAGGGAATAGTAGTGTTGCAATCATTTTTAAATCTCCAAAGAGAAAATCGTATCTAATTGTCCATCGGGAATTGTAAATGTTACAATCATTACATTATAAATAAAAGCACATATAATTTTACTTGTTGAAAAGACGAGTTCAATTTTAAATTAAAATTAAGCTAAAATCAAGTCAACATGGTTAAAAAAACTCGCCAATTATGGTGTTATTTTGCAAAAAGCCAAGCTCTTAACAAAAAGGACAAGAGTAATCCCAAGGTGATTTGTCAGATCAAGGTGCCTCAGGGACAGGACCAATTTGTGGAAAGGTTCTGTCCACACCTAACTCAAATACTAGCTCCATGAGAACTCATATTAGGTCTTTACATCCGGAACAGGCCAGAGCAGTTATTTCATTCGAGGCAGCATGGTATCAAAAAAGACTAAATGATACTAAGAAGCTTGATAAATTATACAACCAAGTGGAGAAAAGAACTTCTAACAAGAAAAAAGACCAATCTGACCACTCAGATTCAACTCTCTCTAGTTCCGGAACTGATGTCGATGCTTCACAAAGTAAGATCAAATTTTGACTAAATTCGGTTTTAAAATAAAATAGCAATCCTTACCAAATTTTAGAACTTAAAATGAAATGTTTTTGATTATCTATTGTTAATATAAATAGTTATTATTTAATATACACATTTGGTATCATTAAATTGTTTAAATTAGGTGTCGTTTACCCCAACAAAAGACAAACCAGAAAGAAACTTTTTCGGAAGTTGCCAATTGGTGGTAGGGCCTCATTTATCACAACCACACCACCATATTTTCAGAGAATTGTCAAGCACAATATCAGGTATTTTCGAAACTTTGTCAAATACTTGGATCCAAAGTTCCACGTGAAGTCCGCCAGAACAATGGTTAGAGCAAAACTTCCTCTTCTCAACCGATTGGTCAAGGAGGCAGTGACGAACAAGATTGTAACAGATCTAAAAGACAATGCCGTTTGTGTAGCTTTCACAACTGATTTGTGGTCATCAAAGTAAGTCATTTGAAAAAATTAATAATACTTTAATAATTGGATTTTGTTAATTTTTTTACAGGAGAGGGAAATAACATCTTGTGTTCACTCCGGGGCCTTAGGTAAAATCAATTTGTGGCGCCCTAAAAAAGGTTTTGCAAAAGTTTTTCGTCATAATCAAAAACTGAATTAAATTTTTTATTTTTCAGGGATTTTCATGGGCTCCATAGGATCTAAATTTTTGCAATATTCTTCTTCATTATTTTTTTCGTTCGTTCGATTAGGATTGAATTTAAACATAAAACTAAAACTTTTTATTCCATTTACATAAATTATTTTTGTTTTAAATAACTATTTACTTTTTTTTTTAACTTATATAGATATGTTTCAATTTGCTAATTATCCAAAGCAATGATAGTTTGTATATAAAAAAAGAAATGATAATTTCTTGAAATTCGTGGGGCCCAAGGCCGCGGCCTAGTTGAACTATAGGTAAATCCGGCCTTGTGATTAACATAGAATGAACTGATAGTAATAAAGTTTGATATAAAATAAAATTTATTTTCTTGTTTAGAAACTTCGATCCATTTCTTGGTTTGACACTTCACTATATCTCAAAGAACTGGACCCTAGAGAAGCTGCTGGTGTATTGTGGAAATGCAGAGGGTAGACATACATCTCAAAACATTGCTGAACTTCTTGACAAGGCAATTAGTGAGATTGTAGGCCTTCCATCAAATGTCCACAAGACCTGCACAAGTGATTATGCAGCTAATATGCTAGTAGCCATCCCAAAACTGACAGAAGAAATTCAGGAGGGCCTTGGGTGTGTTGACCATATACTTAACCTTGTGGTGACTGAGTGTCTCGGCATCCCTGAAGTAAAGAATGCTGTTGATGCATTCAAGAAATTGTCATCCAGAACTCACAAAAGCAGCATTGCTCAACGAGGATTAAGAAAGAGTGTGCCAGGATAAACAATCAATCTAAGGATGATACAAACATTGAAACTGGTAATTCATTTCTTTAAACTTTCAAAGTTTTTCAATTTTAGGTTTGGATTGTACATTTATTATATGTATATATTTTATTATATTTACTACATATTATTTATTTATTTTTATATTTAGTTATTATATAAATATATATATTATATAAAAAATTTGGTTATAACGTGCCGGAATAAGACTTTTGTTGTTGGCCCGGAGCTATTTAAAAAAAGTGGCTCTTTTTATGGCAAAGTTGCACTCTATGAAATCAAACAAGTTTCTTCAAAAAAGCTCAGCTAAAAAGGTTTGGGTCCCTAAATGTGCAGGGTTTGGGGCTTTATTCCCCTAGCCCCTTAACCAATTTCTGATATTATTGTACATTGTATAGTATAAGAAAATTAAACTCACGATTTAAAAGAAGTTGGTTTTGGTATAACCTAGTTTGACTAGTTTTAAACCAAAATTTTACCAATAATTCTTTTAGTTGAATTTGTCAAAATCATTGCACCTGTTGAAACCCGCTGGAATTCCATCTTGATGATGATGCGATCTATTTTAAAGTTGAGGCCAGCTTTTGAGAGGATCAAAGAGGACTTCAGCAAGGGAACTGATCCCAAGATAAGAGAAAAAATCTCTACATCAGAGGAATTTGAACAGGTCAATGAGTTAGATTTTTTTCCGAATTATTAAAATTCGTTATTCCTGTTAGTTCCGAATATTAAAAGTAGTTCTTAAATTAATTTTCTTTTTTACTTTTTTTGAATAGTTTTTTTTTAAGTATTTAGTTATTGAGTATCAGGCATCCTATCTCAGGGGAGTAAGGATGACCTTACGGCATTAAAAGGGGACTCCACATTGAAATCGAGAGTCTTTTTTTGTACCAAAATTTAGGACTTCAAGGCCTCAAAGTTATTAAATTGCTTAGGTCATTTTTAGGAGGAGTAGGGGGATGGTTTGTATAAACTTGTAAAATAATAATTGTCAAAATTGTTACAGTTTTCTATTTTCAGATTGTTGCCATCATTGGTCCACTCACCAAGATTGAAGAGATGTCTTTATTCTTTTCTTCTGACCAAAAATCAACCATCTGCTATGTGGTGTCGAAACTTTCTAATATCGATGGTTATCTAAAATCTCAACTCAACAAACCAACAACCAGCGAGGAGACCAAAGGGTTCTGCAAAACCCTTAAGTCAAAGTTGGAAAAGAGATTCCCGGCTTGTGGGACCAAAAACAAGCTCAATGTTTATGGAGCAATTCTACACCCATTTTACAAAGGACTCACACTTGCCCAACATGAAAGTTCAAATTACAGGAAATTGATTGAGCTAATGATAAAGGAGAATGAAGTTGAGCTAGTACATGACTTGAATCACGGAATTTTTGAGGAAGTTGATGAGGAAGACTACAGCATTGAAGCTAAGATTAGGTAATTGGTATTCAAATTTAAAATTCGAATAGTTTCAGGTTAATATATTTTTTTTAATAACTTTTTTTTTAGAGCTAAAATGAGGTCTTCTCAGTCAAGCCAGCATACCCGGTCACTGTTTGAGGCAGCCATTAGCCCCATGCAGTTGGAAATGAACACGTACCTAAACTTAACAAATCCTTCTCCAGCCGATGTTGATGTACTACAATGGTGGAGAAGGCATCATCGGGAGTATCCTCTTATTGCCAAGTGTGCCAGAAAATACCTTTGTGTTCAGGTAAAAAAAAAAACCATATTAAAAATATATTTTTTTTAAGCTTTATTTTGAAATGGGGTAGGGACACGCCAATTTCCAAAATTCAAATAACCGAATTTTTGAACTTTGGTCACTTAAATTTAAATTTGAACTTTAGCCGTTCGAAAATTTTTTCCCAGTCTACTTTCATTTAATTTGTTTGAACATTTGAAAAAATATTAAACTAATTTCATTTTTCAGACATCGTCAGCGAGCTCTGAACGAGTGTTCTCATCAGGAGGTGCAATTGTGACCTACCAAAGGACAAAGCTTGATGTTGAAAATGTCCACATGCTAGTTTACTGTAAGGAAAACTTGCCAAAGGTTAAAATCTCCGCAAAGTTTCACGAGGATGAAGCAGAGGAGGATGCTGAAGAGGAACTTCTTCAGGACAAAACAACTGAAGTCTTGATAGAAGGTTCAGTCAAAATTCATTTTGGTAAGGGAGGGGGTAAAAGATATAAAAAATAGTTAGATGTTAGTCTTCAAAGTCAATCGAAGGCTGGGTCTACTTCAACCAGCCAGTCAACAGTATTTTCAAGAATAAGAGTTGGAACCTCTTCAAGAAACAGAAATGAAAATCCATCAACTATTAGCATACAATGCATTGACAGTGATTGATTATATATAAAAACGTGGAAAATGTTCCTTTTTGTTCCTTTTATCAAATTTATTATATTGTTTGAAATCAGGAATAACGTTTTTAACTTGGGTAAACCGTCCAGTTCTTTTTTTCAATTTTTGCTTTAGGTGTCCGAAACAGACCTTACAGTCTTGTCACAGAATACCGCGAAATAGCATTAAAATAGGAAGTTCACGCCTCCTTCCTTAACGATGGCATGTCCAGACGAGCTCTGGAATCCAAGTTTTCTGATCCATGAATCTCTTGCTTATAAAGAAAGCGCTCTAACCACTGCGCCACGGGCGCATATTTTGGTTTTAAATGTTTCTACATTCATCTCATCTTTTTCCTTATTAATTTGAAAAAGGAAAAAATTTCAAACTTTTTATGAGTAAATCTTCAGATTCGGCGCACTTATACCTGTTTTTAAAATTGCTTTGCGCATATGCAAGTTCACACTTATGTCAGTTTTTGCAATTGATTCATATCTAAGCCAGTGTTTGCAAATTTCTTTGGCGCACTTATGCCAGTGATTGCAAGTGTTAACACTTATGTAGATTTGCCAGTTTGCAGTTACAACATTCGCCATTATGTGATTTCGCAGGTACAAAATTTGCACTTATTTATTCGGTCTTTAGTCAGACCCCACCCCCACTCCTAATGAGTCATAAAATTCACTCTCACCATATACTGGGTAGTTAAACTAAATTAAAACATTTTTTCGAGTATTTCTTATACTAATTTGAAAAAATGTGAAAATACCTAGTTTGAATTTGACAAAATTTGATTAACTCGAATTTACATTTGAATTTCGAATTTGACTAAAATTCGAATTTGACCATTTCGAGTTTTATTACACAAATTCGAAAATTCGAACTTGTGACAAATTCGAATAAATTCGACCGAGCTTAGTAACCAATCGTACTTTACTATATGGGATGGTGTAAGGCAGTTAGAGTCTGTTGGTCTAAAGGTGATGGCTATTGTAGCTAATGGAGCATCTCCAAATAAAAAGTTTATGCGTGCCCATTTTTGGAAATCTGAAGAAAATACTAAAGATGGTGTCATTTGCTGGACCTGAATAAGTGTTGTCCTGGTATGAATAAATAATTATAGTTATAAAAATTGTAAAAAAATAAATAAAAATAACCAAGTAATAAATAAGTTAAACAAAATTTATTAGCATTTATAATCTACAGATGTTAGTTTTCAATAAGACCAGTAAAAAGTGGCTCAACATTAAACTGTTCAAAAAATTTATCTTTTAAAGTACTATTTAAACTATTTTTCAGACCAGAAGTTGTTTTTTATTCGTGATGTACCTCACTTGATAAAAACCACTAGAAACAACCTCAAAAAATCACATGAAAATTCTTCAAGTAGAAGTCGGATGGTATGTATATGTTTTACACCAATGCTTAGTTTTAAACAACATATTCAATTTTTGTTATTTATTTTCTATTAAATAAGGATGTAATTTCTCTAATGTCATTAACAAGGAGGGATGTTTAAATTGCTTTAGCATTTTTACTATTTCAATTTATTACATATATTTTTCTGATGAATAAAAAGTTCAAATTAAATATTATGAGCCTATGCAATATTACTAATAATTACATATTATTGTCTATCAAGAAAAAGTAAGGTTGCAATGTTTTCTAGGCCTTAGGTAACATTACAACCAACAAATGGGGTGCAAAGTCCTATGGCTTACCTTCCAGTTGGTGCACTTCGTTAAGTAAGTTAGACATGTTGAATGTATAACTTATGAACAGAATAGTCTAGACAAATTTAGTATTAATTTTAGTACTAAATATATAATAGATATAAATTAAACTAGGTTTAAGATGATATTGCTCATCAACTTTTTCATTTATCGTTTAAAAACGGAAAAAATTATTCAGACTTGCCATGAATTCCAAGAAAACCTTTTTTCTAAGAACTAGCAAGACAGATGATAATAAATTTGCAAAACTTTAGTGTTCATGTAAAACTATTATCTTGTCGAAAATAAGTATGTTTAAATGGATAAATGCAAAATCTCCGGCCTAATCTAAATATATTATAGAAAGTCAGGTAAAACTATGGGAATTTAATAAAAACAACTAAAAGTGAGAAGCTTTTTCTCAGTTAAAAGTGTATTAAAATTAGTTGTAACTGTAGGACATCTTTATGACGTAGGTCAACTTATAAAATAGTTCTGACTATGACACTGTTCAAAAATTTTTAGTTACACTTTTAAAAAATCATATATTTGGGCCTGCTTTGTAACTACTATTTTAAGTGTTTGTTATTTTAAATCTAATATTTTTTGGTAAATTTCAGATTGATGGTCAGGCGCTTGTTTGGGATCAAATAATCAGGTTGTATGACTGGGATCTTGAAATAGATAGAGATGCCGTGGGATTGACAATGGGACACAAGTTAAGTGAAGAACATATCGACCTCAATTCAAGAATGCATATGAGAGTAAATCTAGCAGTAAAGGTTAGAATTAAACAAATTGTACTTCTGCTAACCTGGCTGATATTTCATACATGCCAGTGAAGAGGATTTAATGATATACATTATCCCTCTTGTGTTCTTGGCACAGAACAAAATTGCATCAACAATCACTTTCAAGATATCTCTCCACTTTTTCATCTCTCCGTTGATAACTCTCTGCAGATCAGAATCAAGGTTTCCTTCCTTGAGATTTTTTCCAGATTTTTTCAATCAGAATAGCATCTTTGGTGTTCATTGCTGTTTTTGTGTTCTGGAATTCTTGGGTTTAGTTTTTTCCAGTCACAAAGTCCTTTTGAAATTTCTGAAAAATTGTTGGTTTTTGTCGTTGAAAATAGCAGACAGCAAAAACAAAACAAAGAATCTTTTTTGTTGCTGTACAGCAGCCAGTAGCGAACAAATTTTTTACCATTGGGATGAATTTTTTCATACTATTTTGAGCTGAAGTGTCGCATTCTGTTGTCAAAGTCACAAAGTGTGTTTATGAAAAATTCTCTTCTTTCTTGCTCCGGCCCATGCTGAATCAAAAAGCACCTTGTTTTATCTGTCATTTTAGGCCATGTAGCTGGATCACTATGTTGAAAGTTTTCTCCTGAGGTTGCTGAAATTTCTGAGATTTCAGGAGGAAATTCACTGTTGCCCATTTTAATTGGTTTGGAAAGCTGAGAATTTCTATCTTCTTGTGCTTCTGAATCATTTGGTTCAAATTCGTCTTGACTTTGGCTAATCAAAATCTCCTCTTCAATTAATTCCAATGGATGATATGAATTTAAGTCAGTAATTAAAGATGTAGCAGCAACTTCAGCTGTTGAATCATTATCAACTTCATTGCAAATATCCTCTGAAAGAATTTGTTTTTCCACAGCAGAGTTTGTTACAAACCACTTCTTGAAACAATTTCTTAGTTTTGCGTCACTTTCAAGACAGTCTCTTCTTTTCTTCTTAAATTCAGCACCAGATAATTTTTTTGCACGATTCATTGTAAAAAATGATGTTCAGAAAATACAACTTTTTATTTTTTAATTGCGCTCTTCTATTATTTATTTTTTCTTTTTTCTTTTCTTCTCCCTCTTTATTTTTATTATTATTTTCTTACTTTACTTTCTTTAGCTTTCATTTCATTTGTTTCTTTATTTAAGCCGCTTAAATTAAGCGTTCTTTTTTTTAAATTCGAAGTTCTTTTTTTCTATATTTTTTTCTTTTTAGAATAATTTTTAATGTGTGCGTTAAATTAATTTATATGATCCTTAATGA